GAGTTTTAAAAAATTAAATTGTTAATAAACAATTGATTTTGTTGATGCCCATTGTTTATTAGATGTTTATTTACAAGAATTTCCTTAAAAAAAATAATTTTGGCAAAATTACTAGTCAAAATTCTCCATCCGCCAATTAGCAGACAATCGAATATTCGAGTTTTCCGAAGCTAAGAGTTTTAAAAAATTAAATTGTTAATAAACAATTGATTTTGTTGTTGCCTATTGTTCATTAGATGTTTGTTAACAAGAATTTCCTTAAAAAAAATAATTTTGGCAAAATTACTAGTCAAAATTCTCCATCCGCCAATTAGCAGACAATCGAATTTTAGAGTTTAGCGAAGCTAAGAGTTTTAAAAAATTAAACTGCAATTAAACAATTGATTTTGTTGTTGCCTATTGTTCATTAGATGTTTGTTAACAAGAATTTCCTTAAAAAAAATAATTTTGGCAAAATTACTAGTCAAAATTCTCCATCCGCCAATTAGCAGACAATCGAATTTTCGAGTTTTCCGAAGCTAAGAGTTTTTAAAAATTAAATTGTTAATAAACAATAGATTTTGTTGGTGCCCATTGTTCATTAGATGTTTATTTACAAGAATTTCCTTAAAAAAAATAATTTTGGCAAAATTACTAGTCAAAATTCTCCATCCGCCAATTAGCAGACAATCGAATTTTCGAGTTTTCCGAAGCTAAGAGTTTTAAAAAATTAAATTGTTAATAAACAATTGATTTATATGTTAAAGTATGTTCGTAGAATATTTGTATTTAACTCTATAGTGAAAGAAATTATCGCGAAAAAGAAAGAATGAATAATTGATCATTTCGTATTATTCAGTTGCGACGCCTGTGGATTTGTGAGGCGTCTGGCGGATGGCAGGTCGCTAACATTCACGGCACCTTTGAAGCAACAAAAACTTTATCACGAATAAATAAAAATTTAGTTTTAGCCAAAGAAACTTATTTAAACCAAGAAAACTGACTTAGAAATCTATTTGAACCAAATAAACTTTATTTGAAACAAAAAGAATTTTTTTGAAAGAAATAAAAATTTTATTTTGAACAAAAAAATTTATTTTAACAAAATAGAACAATTAGAAACAAATAAAACTTTTATTTGAACCAAAAAAATCTTTTTTTCACGAAATAAAATTTTTAATAAACAAACAAAAATTTTATTTCAACCAAAAAAAGTTATTTGGTCCAATTAAAAATTTTATTTGAACCAAAAAAATTTTTTTAAAAATTTATTTAAAGCAAAATAAACTTTAAGTGAAGCAAAAAAGATTTTATTACAAATATATATAAATTTTATTTTAGCCAAAAAAAAATTATTTGAACCAAGAAAACTGACTTAGAAATCTATTACAACTATAAAAATAACAACAAAAATTTATTAGAAACAAATAGAATTTATTTGGTTTAAATAAGTTTTTTGGTTTAAATAAATAGATTCTTATTTTTCTATCTAATTTTCTTCGGTTCAAATAAGTTTTTCTGTTTCAAAATAAAATTTTTATTCAACAAATTAATAAATTGTATTTGTTTTAAATAAGTTTTGTAGTTCAAGTAAAATTCCATTTGAACCAAAAAAAATTATTTGAACTTAAAACTCTTATTTAAACCAAATAAAATCTATTTCAACCAAATAAAAATATTATTTAAATCAATACAATTTATTTAAATGAATTAAAGTTTTTTAAAATAAATAAAGATTAAGAATAAATAATAAATTAATGAAAACTTATTATTTTCCTGAGTGTAATGAAGAATTCGTCTAAAAAATTTTTTTAAAAACAAGACTTACATTCAAATATCTAAAATTATTCAGATTAAAACAAAAATCAATATTGAGTTCCTCGTGATGAAAAAAATACTTTAACTAATATAGCTTTCATTAAAAAAAATGCCTTTATATCTATCAAGAAAAACTTGGTCATAAAGTTTTTACTTCTACTTTGTTGATTGTTTGAAAACTCATCTTACAGAAGTTAGAAAAGTTCCACAAGAAACTTATCCACAGAATTTACTTCTATTTTAAACAATTTATTGTAAAAGTCAAATTTCTTTTTCGTAAGATAAACTTTTATCAACGAATTCCCCTTCTAAGTTTAGAATGTTTAAACGAAAGTTGAGTTTCAAATATTTTATGTAAATATTCTTGACAAGAGTTTCAACTCCTATTTCTTTACTCATAGCAAAATTGTTTACTTTCCTTGTTTTTTTTTTATTTTATTTTTTCGCAAATTTATGTTAGTTTGCATCACTGATCGTCAAAGGCGATAAAATTCGATTTTTATTCATTAAAAACAGTATTAAATTAGAAGAAAAACAACTTGTGAATATAAATCGTTTCATATTTTTTTATTTTTGAGATTTTTTTTTCAAAAGAAGTTTCAAACTCTTGTCAATTAATATATTAATTAATTAATAAAAATAATTTTTTCTGTGTTAAAATAATTATTAAGTAAAACTTAATTAATAATTAATAATTATTAATTTTTAATTAATATAATATTTATAATAATAAATTTAATTTTAATTAATAATTATTTTTTTCGACCAAATAAAAATTATTTTGTTATTTTAATTGTAGACTATTAATTATTAATTTATTTTTATTTAATAATTGTTTTAATTCGTGATACAATTTTTGTTTTTAAATTTCGAACTGAAAAAATTATTTTATTATTAATAAATCATAATAATTTGTTTTCACTCAACTTGAAAAGAAATTATTTTTTCTACTATTTCATTCTCATTTTCGTCTGGCAATTTTTCAACTAATTTGTCTGAAAAAAAAGTACAAGTTAGTTTTCCTTTAGAAAAGAATTATTAATTTGAACTGTATTTGATGTATTGTACGGGAGAAGGAAATTCAGCCACAAACAGTCGTTGCCAAGTTTTCCGCATCAACTTTTCAAGTCCATTTGTTGACCTAAAATCCGTATATAACATTATTCGTAGTTTGGAGAAGGAATCTCGTATTGGCCTGATATATGTTTGCCTGTTATATATATAAAAAAAAATCCGAGAATGTGCTATTGTGATAAGAGAAAAAAAACTAACTTGGAAAACTTCGACCCGCTTCAAACATCGTTTAGAGAGTTTTTTTTTACATGTCTTGAAGCATGCGAAGAACTTGTCAACTTATTTTCAAACTTAAAATTAGCCATCACTGCAAAATTATTATATTATTGAGGAATTTTTTTTTATTATTGCAAAATTTTTTATATTATTGTAAAATTGATTAAATTACTGCAAAAAATATTAAATTACTGCAAAAATTATTAAATTACTCAAAAAAATTATTAATTATTGTAAAATTTATTAAATTTCTGTAAAATCTATTAAATTACTGCAAAACTTATTAAATTTACTTTAAAATTTATTAAATTACTGCAAAAATGATTAAATTACTACAAAATTTATTCTATTACTGCAAAGACTATTAAATTACTGCAAAAATTAATTAGGTACTGCAAAATTTATTAAATTACGGCAAAAATTAATAAATTACTGAAAAAAATATTAAATTACTGCAAAAATTATTAAATTACTGCAAAATTTATTAAATTACTGCAAAATTAATAAATTACTGAAAAAAAATTAAATTACTGCAAAAATTAATTAGGTACTACGAAATTTATAAAATTACTGCAAAAATGATTAAATTACTGTAAAATTTATTAAATTACTTCAAAAATTAATAAATTACTGGAAAAATATTAAATTACTGCAAAAGTCATTGAATTACTACAAAATTTATTCTATGTGCAAAGACTATTAAATTACTGTTAAAATTATTAAATGACTGCAAAATTTATTAAATTACGGCAAAAATTAATAAATTACTGAAAAAAATATTAAATTACTGCAAATATTATTCAATTACTGCAAAATTTATTAAATTACTGCAAAAATTAATAAATTACTGAAAAAAATATCAAATTACTGCAAAAATTAATTACTACGAAATTTATTAAATTACTGCAAAAATTATTAAATTACTACCTACAAACTTTATTTATATTTACAGAAAATTATTATTCTTCAATTATAGTCACGTCACAATTATTACTTACAAAAAATTTTACAATAATAACTATTTTTACATTTAATAATAAAGCTGTATGAATTGTTGAATAAAATTTCTCTGAATTTTTGAACGTTCAATTAAACGAAATATTTTGTTATCTATTATTTTTAAAAATAACTATACTGATTTGAAAAATAATTGAAATATTTATTTAATAATAATATAGTGATAAAATAAATATAATAAAAGACTCGAGAAAATTGATGAAAAACAAAAATTTAAATTTTTTAAATTAATAAAAAAAATGTCTTTTAATTGAAAGTTCGAAACTTTAGGGACAATAAAAATTCGTCTTACCAGAACTGAAAAGAAAAATATGATGGAGGGGAACTTCAATTATTTTTTTACTGAAGTTACAATGAAAAATTTTCATTTTCTTTATTCGAAAAAGTTTAATAAATAATAAATTAATTATAATTAAGGAAATCACTGATTAGGGACTTAACTCTCGAGAATTAATTAATTAATTTCATATATACATTTTTAATAGTTATTCTAAAAGATTCAATATATATATATAAATATAAAGAAGAATTCGTTAATTCCCATTCCATCAGTAAAAATTTTTAACAATTAAAAAGTTTCTAAAAATATTTCCTTCTTTAAAAAAAAATTAGAATTTCCAAACTCGATTTAAATGAAAATAAATTCTCTAGACACTTTGAAAAAATAATTTTCCATACTTCTTCCTCTTTTTTGGTGTAAAGATATAAAAATTATATTTTTCTTTCTACCTTTTACTCTTTTAGAGTGAAGATATAAATATTATTTTTCAAAGGCAAATTTTTATCAAATTTTATCTTTTTTTGTACATTATTCGCAAGAAAAAAATGTACAATAATATTCACAGCCAAGTTCGGAAGCTTTCTGTGTCTTTTTGTTTTCTTCTTTCTCGTTCATATTTTTGTTTCTTTTTTTTCTCTTTTTTTTGAGAAATTTGATTTTAAATTCAGTTCACCTCTTTGTCAATTGGCAAGTTCTGATGAAGGAAAGTTTTACCACCAGTTTCCGAGAAGTCGGATGCTGTGTGACCATCTCCTTGCAAGATCCACTTTGTCGTTAATAAACCGTCGACTCCCACGGGACCTCGAGCATGAATTCGAGCAGTCGAGATACCAACCTGCAATAACAATTCGTGCAATCAAACTTTGAATTACCTTTCCCCCTATACATATATATAATCTTCAATTGATTTGAAATTATCAAATTTTCAATTTAATCACTTGCATTCCGTGTTACAATTATTTTTTACAAATATTTTGGTAGAAGTTTTTGATAATTTTTCCTGTATTTTTTGGGGGGATTTTATTTTTTGTTTGGAAAAATTTTAGTCGTTTTTTTTACTTTGTAGGAAAATATTTTTTCTCGTATTTTTTATATCTTGATAAATAATAAAATTCTTCTTCGAAATTCAATTATTTAAAAAAATTTTAATAAATTTCTTGGCAAAATTTCACAGGAATTCAATTATTTACAAAATTTTTGATAAATTTCTTCGAAATAATTCAATTATTTTCATAAGTATAAAAATTTTTACAGGAATTCAATTATTTAAAATACAAAATTTCATAAAAAATTTTTCGAAAAATATTAATTACTTAAAAAGATTTTTATAAAATTCGTCGCAAGAATTCTATTATTTAAAAAAAATGTAACAAAGTTCTCTTCAAGAATTCCAATATTTTTATAAACTTGAATAAAATTCGTTGCAAGAATTCAATTATTTTCATAAATAATAAAATTCTTCACAGAAATTCAATCATTTTTATAAACTTGAATAAAATTCGTTTGAAGAATTAAATTATTTTCAAAAGTAATAAAATTCTTTGCAGAAATTCAATTGTGTTCAAAAATTAAAAACAAAAAAGTCTTGTAAAAATTTTCAAGTATCGCTTTATAAATAATAAAATTCTTCTCCGAAATTCAATTATTTTAGAAAAATTTAAAATTCTTGGGAAAATTTTAATTATTTTCATGAATAATAAAATTCATCGCAGGATTTTAATGATTTTTTATTACAATTTTAATTGAATTCCTCGTAAAATGTAATTATTCATAAAAATTTTATTAAAATTTGTCAAACTAATGAATTTATTTAAAAATTTGTTAATAACATTCTTTATGAGAATTCAATTTTAATAAACATTCAATTATTCAATAAATTATTAATTTCCTAATTTAAATAATTGAATTCTCAATTAATTTTCTAATAAAAATTGATTTAAAAATGAATTACCGAATAATCGATTTATCATTCATGAAAATAATTGAATTCTTGCAGAGAATTTTATTACATTTTTTTTAAATAATTGAATTTTTTTGAGAAATTTTACTAATTTTAAAAATAATTGAACGCTTCTAAATGTTACATTTAAATTCTTAACTTTTATCGAAATTAATAATTTTTTCTCACATTTTGTCAAAATTTTTTGAAAACTTTTCTTGTATTTTTTTGGGTATTTTTATTTTTGGTTTGAAAAATTGAAATCGGCATTGTTATCTTACAGAAAAATATTTTTCTCACATTTTCATTTATTATCTAAAATTTTAATTATTTATTTGAAATATTTTAATTAATTAAATAATTATTATAATTAGTATTTTATATTCCTAAAGTTTTGAACGTTCATATGAACGAAATTTATTTATTTCTTCTTTCAATTTAAATTTTATTACAATAATATTGCGTCAGGTAAAAAAAATTAATAAACAAATAAATTATAAAGTTTCCAAGTGTTAAATTTAAATTATTAATAAGTTTTTTTTGAATAGCGAAAATATTAATTGAAAGAATTAAAAATTTCGATAATTAAGCGAAATTTGTAACTGTTTCAGCTAAATAATGTTTTGGGAGAATAAAAATAAAAATAGTAGTAAAAAAACAACAGTAATAATATTAATAATAATAATATTAATAAAAAAAAATAATAATGACGATAATAATAAAAATAATTTCCTGTTGTAAAATAACAATTTTTTACTTGCTTTTTTTAAAAACAAATATGTGTTGAATTGAATATTATATTTTCTGAACGTTATGAAAGCATCGAATGTAAATGCATTCAAATCTGTTGGCTATGTTTTTGAATCAATTTTTTTTTATTATAATCTATTCAATGTCTTAAACGTATTTTACTTAAAATTGCAAAAAAAAAAAAAAATGCCTTCTTTTGACAAGAATTCACCGAAGCTTTTAGAGTTATACGAGAAATATATTGTCAGACTCTTTATTTTTACGAAGGATTATTTTAAAAGCTTCTGTAAGTCAGTTACACACACAAAAAAACAACGAATAGAAAAAAAATAGAAAAAAACCTTTAAAGATTCATATAGGACAATAGTGAAACGTTCTTTTTTTTTATATATTGGAACGTTAAAAGAAATCAATATTGTCCTATTTATATTGGTAAGTCTCTTGTGTATATATATTCACTTTTAATATCGATAGTTATAAAAGCTAAAAAATTTATCTTGTCCAGTAAATTACAAAGAGAATTAATTTTTTTATTATTTAAAGGGAAAATATTATTTATACTTTTATTATTATTAATTTTTTATTATTTCTATTAATAATATTGTTACTATATATTATTATTACTATCTTTTGTTTTTTACTATAATTTACTATTTTTCTATTTTTGTTTTTACTATTATTTCGTTTTTTTTTATTTTTACTATTATTTCTAATTTTTTATTTTTGTTTTTACAATTATTATTCTTTTTTATTTTTTTTTACTATTATTACTATTTTTTTTTGTTTTTACTACACTATATAGTCAAAGAAAAACTATTTTTGAATTAAACATAATAATTTTGATTTAATAAAAATTACTTTTAATTCAATTATAAAATATGTTTAATACAAATGTATTTTTTTGGTTGGCAATATATTTTTGTGGATTAGAAAAATTTTTTTTCTTAGTGTATTATTACTATTTTTTTATTTTTATTTTTATTATTATAAAAATGTTTTACGTTTCTTTGTACTATAATTATTACTATTTTTTATTTTTGTTATTATTAATTAATATTTTTATTATTATTATTATTATTATTATTATTATTATTATTATTATTATTATTATTATTATTATTATTATTATTATTATAATAAAAGCAAGCATTTCTAGTAATTTTGACTACTGTTGGAGTAAATTTTACTAATTTTTACAAATATGTACTTCGAACGCAGCAAAATTTATTCCAAAAGTAGTAAAAATTACCAGAAATGTTTTACCGGAAATTTTTACTATAAAAGTAGTAAAAGTTACTTTGTATTTTTCTCCGTGTATTTTTATTTCTTGAAAAAAGGAAAAAGAGAAAAAAACTTTTTGTATAACTTTGATGTGCTTTCGTCAGACGGAAAATGATAATTCTGCGAAAATTAGTGAGGCGAGTAACTTTTAATTAATCGAAAATGTAATGCTGAGATAATTATTTATATATTGAGAGAGAGAGATAGAGAGAGAAAATGTTTAAAAGAGCTTACCTCAGCACCAAGGCCAAATCTGTAGCCATCGGCAAAACGAGTGCTGGCATTATGAAAGACACATGCACTATCGACTTCCCTTTGAAAATGATTTGCCCTTTCCATGTCTTCAGTGACTATTGTGTCAGTGTGTCCACTTCCATATTTGTGAATGTGATTTATCGCGTCGTCAAGGTCCGTGACAAGTTCAATAGTACATTCTAATGCTCCATATTCAATCTTCATACTTTTTGCTGCCGGCGGGCCAAAGGTTAACTGTTGCTGTAGCTTTGGTCCTGAATTAATCTTGACCTATAAACAATTTTTTATTTTGCAAGAAATAGAAAAATACAAAAGAAAATTATTATCGAGTATAATTATTATCAAATAAAAAAAAAATTTTTAAATAAAAACTTTTAGTTTTATATCGAAATATTGAAAAATTTCAATTTTATCGAAAAAAAGAGAATGAGTGCGAAAAAATACAAACACTTGTTAGTAAAATAAATATTTCAAAAAAATTTTTTTTTTAGGTAAAGTGAATATTTTTTCTATATCTCTTTGATAACCGGGTTTTGTTTATTTTACTATACGGGTTAGATTAACAAAAATGTAAAAAAGTAATCCTTGCTGAAATCTCATTTTTGTGAAAACGTATTTGAGTCAGATTTTCGAATTCGTATTAATTTAAATTTTATTTCAGTAGCATTTTTTCCTTTTACTGAATTTATAATTTTCAAATTAGTATTTGACAGCATTTTTCATTTCAATTTCAACTCATCCGTTATTATGAAAAATAATTCTGATATTTTAGCTATGGATTTCATTAGAATTTTGCATAATAATTTCACAGGAATACCATTTAAAAAAAAAACGTTAAAAAATTACATTATAGAATTATTTTTCTTAGAGTTATTAATTATGCTTGACGTAAAAAATTTTTTAGATTACAATAATTCGTGAATTTTTAGAAATATTTAAATTTTAGATGATTTTAAATTAAAGCTTTTGAAAAATTAGAATTAATGTGAAGAAATTGAACTGAATTAATAACTATTTGCAATTTTTATTTAATTAAATTGAATTAAAAGCAATTTTAATTTCAATTGAATTGAATTAAAGGTAATTATAATTTTAACTGAATTAAATTAAAATTATTTAATGAAACATTGAATTTAACGATTAATTAAAATTAATTGCAATTTTAATTGAACTAAGTTAACAAGTATTTGCAATATTAATTGAATTTCATTTTATTAAAATTAATTGCAATTTTAATTGAATTTCATTTTATTAAAATTAATTGCGATTTTAATTGAATTTCATTTTATTAAAATTAATTGCAATTTTTATTCAATTTCATTTCATTAAAATTAATTGCAATTTTAATTGAATTTAATTTTATTAAAATTAATTGCGATTTTAATTGAATTTCATTTTATTAAAATTAATTGCAATTTTAATTTAATTTCATTTTATTAAAATTAATTGCAATTTTAATTGAATTTAATTTTATTAAAATTAATTGCGATTTTAATTGAATTTCATTTTATTAAAATTAATTGCAATTTTAATTTAATTTCATTTTATTAAAATTAATTGCAATTTTAAATTAATTTCATTTTATTAAAATTAATTGCAATTTTTATTCAATTTCATTTTATTAAAATTAATTGCAATTTTAATTCAATTTTATTGAATTATAATTAATTGAAATTTTAATTGAATTGAAGTCAATAAAAATTATCTGCAATTTTGATTGAATTGAATTAATTTAAAATTAAGTGCAATTCTGATTGAATTCAATTAAATTGAAATTAATTGAAGTTGTAATTAAATTAAAATTAATTAGGATTAAAATTTAATATAATTGAAAATAATAGTAATTTAAATTTATTTGAATTACAATAGTATGAAATTTTGATTAATTCGAGTTATAATAATAAAAAATTTAAATGAATTGTTTTTAAGTGAATTAAAAGTAATTGCAATTTTAATTAAATTGAAATAAATTGCAATTTCAATTGAATTAAAGTAAATTGTATTAAAATTAATTGTAATTTTAAATTATCTAAATTGAAAACTATTTTTTGTATTTTAATAAAATTGAATTAAAATTAATTTTAATGCTTATTGATTGAATTGCAATTCTAATAGAATTGATTTAAAATTAATTGCAATTTTAACGCAAGTTATTAAAAAATGCAATTGCAATTGAATTGAATTATAATTTCTTACTATTGTACTTAAAATTAATTAAAGTAAAATAAATTGAAATTTGAAGTAACTTGAAGTATATTTAATTAAATCTTTATTTTATTTTAATTAAAATTAATATCAAATTTTAATGTAATTGAATTAAAATAAATTGTAATTTTAATTCAATGGAAAAAAATGTATTTCTCTCTAAATTTGAATTAGTAAATCCAAAATGTTTACTAATTTGAATTAGTGACTGATTTTTTGCTTTTGAATTAGTGAATTTTACAAATAAATTAGTAGAAATGACTATAATTTATTAGTAAAATTTACTAATTTAAAAGCAAAAAGTCTGTCACTAATTCAAATTAGTAAAGATTTTTACTAATTCAAATTTAGAGACTACAATTTTATTATTGAACTTAATGTATTTAAAATTAATTGCAACTTTAACTCATTTGAATTAAATTGAAATTAATTGCAATTATTTTTGTAACTTTTCAATTGCAATAAATGAAAATTAATAAATTGTAACTTTAATTTGATTGAACTAAAATTAATTTTAAATTCAATTTAATTGAATTGAAATTAATTGCAATTGAAGTAATAGTTATTTCAATTTCAATTGAATGGAAAGTAGTTTTTATTGGAATTTTATAATTGAAATTTTATAATTCAATTTCAATATTTAAAAATACTTGCAATTTTAATTGAATTGAATTGATTGCAATTGCAACTAATTCATTATTTTTTGTTCTACTTTCAAGAACAAGAATTCTTGTTTTAACTTGATTTTTATTATAGCCTTTGATATTTTTTTTTAGTATTAGTATTTAAGCTAGTCTTTTTTTTCGACTGTACTAATTCGAGAAATATTGAATTCGACTAAAAGAAAATTCCAGCAAAATAAAATTTAGATTTTAGAAGTTAGATTAATAAAAATTCCACGTAAATAATTTTTCATGGGATATTTTCAGCACCCCTCGAAAGAAAGTCCTTCTTCACAAATGTGAATTTACGAATTGAAAAGGATAAGAGAATTTTCACCCTCCACTTCCTACTTGAATATTTCTATATGAAAATAATTTGCATCTACAAATTTCTCTTGAGAAAATTCTCTTTTCGCACTCTCCCTCTCTCTTTATACAAATGTATATTTGTATAAATATTTTCTTAGAGACACAAATTTTTTTTCTTTCCTTCTATACTTACGCCTTCGCGTTGCAGCACATTGCAAACGTCAGAGAAAAAGCTCGTACTCATAAGATTCTCATGTATTAATAGTGTCTCCATTGCATTGCAAGCTGCTGGATAATCACATTTTGAATCGCGAATTATTTTCATGGCCTTTGCCAAATCGGCCTCCTTATCAATGTAAACGTGACATATGCCCTCGGCGTGTCCCAAGACAGGTATATGCTTTGACTGCGACTGAATCGAGCGGACAAGTTCCGAGCTTCCCCGGGGAATAATAAGATCAATGTGCTTCTCCATTGAGAGCAAATCACCAATTTCCTCCCTCGTGGATACAAGAGAAATGGCATTTGCCGCACCAACTGAACTTAGTGCCTCTTTCACGAGATCCATTAGGCACTTGTTGCTGTTGGCTGCCTCTTTTCCTCCCTTTAATAAAAGTCCATTTGCACTTGACATTGCGAGGGCGGCGACTTGCGGCAAGCTATCGGGTCGCGATTCAAATATCACCAGCAAAACACCAATTGGCACTGTTATTTGCCGCAATTCCAAATTCTCGGCTAATTTCGTGCGTCGAATCACACGACCGACGTTCTGCAATGATGAGGCGGCAATTTGCCTCAGGCCTACACTTAGGGAATTTAATTTCGATGGTGTCAGTGATAGGCGTGAGAGAAGTGGTTTCGCTAGACCTGATTTTCTACCCTCCTCCAAATCTTTATTGTTTGCGTCCAAAATTTCACTTTGTCTTGATTCTAGTAAATCGGCAAGTTTGTTGATGCATTTTGCTCGTTCCTCTGGTTCGAGGGCTTGGAGGACTCGACTTCCTGCTCTTGCTGTAATTTTTTAAATTCATCTATATCTATATCAAGAAAATTATTTAAATCTTCAATAAAATTATTTTTATCATTTTTAGAGAGGAAATCAATGGTCAAAAAATATTCTGACCCTTTTTGGATTTTTATTTTTCATAAAAATTGAAAGATTTTAAAATCCATTCGTAATTTAATGTTAAGGGGAGACTTCGACTACATTTTTATCTATATCAAAAAAATAATTTAAATCTTCAACAAAATTATTTTTATAATTTTTTGAGAGGAAATCAATGGTCAAAAAAAATTCTTACCATCTTTGGATTTTTATTTTTCATACAAATTGAAATATTTTAAAATCCATTCGTAATTCTGTAGAAAAAATGTTTTTACATCTATAAAAAAAATTACTGGATGAAAAAATTAATTTTTACAATTTTTGAAGCATTTTTTTAAAAAAAAACATTGGTTTTAGTTTTAGATTAGGGTTGCCACAGTTTAGGAAATTCAAGGAAAAGTCACGGAAAGTAAAATTGGTTAGGGAAATAAATCAGGGAAAAGTCATATAAATTTTTAGTAAAAGTACACTGAGAAAAAAGAGGGCGCGTTACAGCACATTTTCGATTCATGTTGCGCGACTCAACCCTGAATTCTTCTACACACTTTCTGGGGCGTGCAGCACGCCCCAAAGAGCGTGTAATACGCTTCAAATACAGCTCGCCTCGACTCAGGGGTCCGCTGCACGCCCCAGAAAAGTGTCTAGCAGAACACAGGGTTGAGTCGCGCAACATGAATCGAAAATGTGCTGCAACGCGCCCTCTTTTTTCTCAGTGTACTGGAAAAAATTAAATTTTTAAAATTCATGAGAAAACTCTGAATTTTGATGTTTTTTTTTGTTTGCCTCGTAAACTATGAAATTATCACGAATTTTAAATACAAAACCTTCAATTTTTTCTATTTCTGACAATAATTTCTTTTTAAATAACTTAATTTTTCAAGAACAATAAAAAAATTATGACTTATAAATTATTTAATGAATAATTTATATACAATTTTCATAAATACTAGATTGATAGAAGAATTTCAGTTAAAAATACTAAAACAAATGAATTTTGTAATAGTTACAAATATGATTCCAAAAATTAAATTATTTTCAAAATTTATAAAAATTTTTACAGGAATCCAATTATTTAAAATACAAAATTTCATAAAATTTTTCGAAAAATATCAATTATTTAAAAAGATTTTTGTAAAATTCGTCGCAAAAATTCAATTATTAAAAAAAAAATTTAACAAATTTCTTTTCAAGAATTCAATTATTTTTATAAATATAAAAAAATTTTTCACCGAAATTCAATTATTTTTATAAACTTGAATAAAATTCGTTACAAAAATACAATTATTTTAAAGACAATTTTTAATTAAATTATTCGAAATAATTCAATTATTTTTTAAAATATTCATAAAATGATTTAAAAAATTGAATTATTTACAAAAATATTAATAAAATCTTTCGTAAGAAAAATATTTTCACAAATAATTAAATTCTTTGCTGAAATTTAAATATTTTTAATATCTACTATGTTAAATAAAATTTCTCAAATAAAGAATTAAATTATTTAAGAAAAATGTTAATAGAATTCTTTGCAAAAATTTAATTAATATTCATAAACAATAAAACTACGAAGGAAATTCAATTGTTTGAAATACAATTTTTAAGAAAATTGTATTTCAAACAATTGAATATATCCTCCGTAGTTTTATTATTTTATTTTTTATTATAAAATAATTATTTTCTAAAATTTTAATAATATTCGTATCAAGAATTGAATTATTTGTAAGACAATTTTAATTAAATTATTCGAAATAATTGAATTATTATTTAAAATTTACATAAAATAGTTTTAAAAAATTCAGTTATTTACAAAAATTTTTATAAAATCCTTCGCAACAATTCAATTATTTTTACAAATAATAAAAATTTTCCCAGAAATTTAAATATTTAAAAAAATTTAACAACAATGTAAAAAAAATTTTATATTTAAATTTTTGTAAATTTTAACTTTTGTAATACTGTAATAATGTGTAAATATTTATTTTAAAAATCTATTAATATAATATTTTACTAAAAAATTATTCAAGTTTTGAATAATTTTCTTTAAGATTCGGAAAAAAATAATTGAATTTTCAATGAATTACAGTTGTCATTTTTAAAAATAATTAAATTTCAAAAAATTTTTACATTATAATTATTAAAAATTTTACTTTCTATGAAAAAATAAATAATAAGTATTTAAATATTTATTTATCAATAATTATTCAAGTTTTTAATAATATAAGTTAGAAATTATGAAAAAGAATTAGTCTTTCGAAAAATTTTAATTAAAATTTTCTCAAGATAATGAAATCCCAGTAAGCATTTTTAAAAAGTTGATTAAATTTACAATTACATTATGACAAGATTGTAAATAATTGTATATTAATATATTAGTAGTTTAGGACAGTTTTAGTCAGACAAATGTTAAAAAGATTTTTGCATAAAATTTTTTTGTCTTAGTAGTAAATGTCATATAAGACTTGTGCCAGTTTTTAAAAATCAGTAGTGAAAGTCAATTTAAGATCAGACAAATTTTTCCATTTTCAACATCAGTAGTCAAAGAAAGTTTCAGTGGGACAAAACTTTTTCCCCTTATTACTAAAAACAATTTTACTTAGGTACGAAATTTTCTAATTTTACTATTAATTAAAAATTTCTAATTCTTTATCGATTCTTATTTAAGATTTCTTTAAATTTAAATTAAAGAATAAATCAAATTATTTTAAATATTTGTATTTAAATTTTAAATTTTGCTTCCAATTTAAAATTTCCACTTTTTTGCTATTAAAAATTCTAATTTCTCTTAATTAGTATTGCAGATCAGTTATTTGTTTTATTAAAAAAAACTAAAAAAAGTAGTAAAAGAAAAGAAATTAAAAAAAAAAAATTTTTTATATCAACAATATTTTAACGACACTATTGACGATAATTACTCAATGATTAATTCCTAATAACTAACAAATTGTAATTATCATCATTTGTAATTATCATTGACTAATAATTATCATAGATTTTCATTATATCATTAGCCATAATTTGGACAATTTCCAAAATGAATTACTTGTTGCACATAATTTCTATTTTTTGTTTGTTTGAAATTACAAATGGAAAATAAAACAAATAATTAATTATTATTATTATTAAGAAAAATAAATTTGATGGTACAAAAGAGGGGAGATAAATAATTAGAATAATTCGTTTCGCGCTAAAAATATGACAAAACAGAAATAAATTTTCGATTAAGCCATTTGTCGCTATCGAAAAATCATTCTAGTATTGGAATTTATTTTGTTCTCTTTCACATTGGCACACGAAGAATTCAATTCTATATGGTGCAAGTCACAGAAGTGAGTCGCATTTGGTGCTCTTATTAAAGTGGACGAGAGATGCCAAAAGGGAAATGATGTTGATTCGAGAGAAAGGATCTTTGGTTCAATTTCGTATTTGCATTGGAATTTAAAGCGAGTTTTTTTCTTTAAAAGAAAATATTTTCGAGGAAATTGATATTTTATTTTCCCTTTTTTTTCACTTCAAATATTCAATATGAGACCACAAAAAAAAGAGAACAAATAAGTTGAGATAAAAATATATGATACAAACTTTTCAATTTAAGACAAATGCTTATCAATCAGTTTTTTTTCTTTACAATTTATCTTTATTCGATCAATTTCCAATTTAATCTTCTTGTATTTCAATTTTTTCCATTTTCTTGTTGCTTCTGTTTATTGTTTATTAATGCTGTATTATATTTTAATATTTTTATTTTAAATTTACTATTTTATTGTATTTCGATTCTAATTTACTACTTTATATTTTAATTCTAAGTAATTTAAAAATTGCCTTCGAGATTATTATTATTTTTTTTCAATAAGAATTTTAGTTCCTAAATTTCGAAAAGTGGCGAAGTGATTCACACCTCCTAATGATAATTGAACAAAATTCAAATCTTGGTTACAAAGGAATTAGGACACATGGTAATTTGTGCGCACAAATGGAAAGAGAATTCGGTTATTGGGTGCCAAGCGATAATTGAACAAGTTTAATTGTTAACTTGTAAACAAATAAATAAAATAAAAGCTTTAAAATAAAAATAAAGTACCAATAAAACGGAATAAAATACAAAATAAATTAGCATATCGTTTAGTAACATAGCAGTAGTATAAAATCATTTATGGTAGTAAGTTGTTTAAAAATAAAATCCTTTCTAAAGTTCAATTAAACCTTTTAGTAACAAATTAATTTAATATTAAAAAAGTATTAAAAATAATTAAAAATTAATTAAATACATTTAATAAATTTAATAAATTTAAATTAAAATGTCTAAATTAAAAAAATTAGTTCTTCCTTAACATTGTCAATTTTCTATTAGAATCAAAGTTGTAGAAAAGCACTTTCAATAAAAAAGTTTTTCTCTCTATTTTCTTCAAGTATATAAACAAGAAATTTCAAGTTTTAAAGAATCGTTTTATACCACATGCAGTTTGACCAAATAGTTTTCTTTATGCTTTTTAATAAAAGTTTCTCTATTTTTTCGAAACTAATAATTGTGGAATAATATCCTCTCTTCAAAAAAGTTGAAAAAAATTAATCCACAGAGTTTTAGAAAATCAATGGACAGCCAGTGAAATAAAAAGTTAGTCTTTTCTTAATTCTATTTTCATTTATATGAATCTTTTTCTTCGTTTTTAAAATAGATAAACAATTTGTTTATTTATTTGAAACAAATGGGTTTTGTTTCAAATGTAAAAAATTATTAGTTCAATTACAGAATTTATTTAATTAGAACTAGAAATATGAAATTAGAATTAAATTATTACTTTCAAATTAAATATTTAATTACAATTAAATGATTACTTTCAAATTAAGTATTTAATTAAAATTAAATTATCAGTGTAAAGTCCAAATAAAACATTCTTTTAATAATTCAACGAATTCAATGTCTGACTAAAAATTGACTTTTACAACTTAAACAAAATTTTCCTGAACTTCTAAGTTATAAAAATTTTAATTTTACTACTCACAAAAATTTTAAAATCAAAATCCATTACAATTGAATAAAAATTTCATTTATATTTAATTAAAATGGTTTAAGATTAATTGCAATTTTAATTGAATTGAATGACAATTTATTTTCAATTTAATTGTGATTTCAATTGTACTACATTGAAATGCGATTTTAATTGAATGAAATTGAAGTAAATAAAAAATGTATTACAATTGTAATTGAATGGATTTAAAAAAAATAAATGTTATTTTAATTAAATTAGAGTAAAATTAATTTCAATTATTCAAATTAATATCAATTTCAATTGAATTAAATTGAATTAACATTAGCTGTTAATTTAATTTAATTTAATTATAATTAATTGCAATTTTTATTAACTAGAATAAGAATTAATTACGATTTTAATGGAATCACATTAAAGTAATTACAATTTTAATTTTCAATTAACTTGAACTATATTAAATTGCAAACATTCAAATTTATTTCAGTTTTAATTGAATCTAAGTAAATTAACAGTAATTGCTAATTTAATATAATTGAAATTAGTTAAATTAACATTAATTGATCATTTAATTTGATTGAATTGTAATTAATTGCAATTTTAATTAATTATAATTAGAATTAATTACGATTTTAATGGAATCACATTTAAAGTAATTACAATTTTAATTGAATTATATTAAATTAATTACAATTTTAATGGAATTGATTTAAATTAATTAAAATTTATCTGGAATTCAATTAAATTAATTGCATTTTCACTTAATAAGAATTAAAATTAATGAATTGCTTTTGTAATTGAATTTAATTGAAATATAATTATTTGAATTTTTAATTATCTTGAACTATATTAAATTGCAATCATTCAAATTTATTTCAATTTTAATTCAATCTAAGTAAATTATCATTAAGTGATAATTTAATTTGATCGAATCTAATTATGTTAACATTAATTGATAATTTAATTCCTTTGATTGCAATGCTAATGAAGTTGAATTAAATTGATTGCAATTCTAATAAAATCGAATTAAATTGATTACAGTTCTCATAAAATTAAAATAAAATTAATAGCAATTTTAATGGAACTAAATTAAATTCATTGCAATTACAATGGGATTGAATTAAAATTGACTGCAATTTTAAAGAAATTTTATTAAATTAATTGCACTTTTACTTATTGGAATTGATATTGTAATTGATTGAATCGAAGTAAATTTATTTGCAATTTTAATTGACTGGAACAAAATTTAATTGAAATTAAACTAAGTTTAACTAATGAAATTGAATTAAATTAATTGCATTTTTAATGGAACTAAATTATATTAATTGCAATTTTAATGGGATTGTATGAAATTAATTGTGATTTTGTTGTAATTAATTTAAAATTAACGACAATTTTAATGAAATTTTATTAAATTAATTGCACTTTTACTTATTGAAATTAAAATTCATTTCTATTGTAATTGATTGAATCGAAGTAAACTTATTTGCAATTTTAATTGATTGGAACTATAATTAATTGCAACTTTAGTGTAATTCAATTTAAATTTATGACAATTTTCATTCAATGTAATTGAATTAACATTAATTGCTAATTTACTTTTATTGAATCATAACTAATTGCAATTTTAATGAAATTGAATAATATTGATTGCATTTTTAATGAAATTGAATAAAATTGATTGCAATTTTAAAAGAATTGAATTAAATTAATTACAACTTTAATGGAATTAAATTAAATTAATTCCAATTTTATTAGAATTGAATTAAAATATTTGCAATTGAATTGAATTCAATTTCAACGAATTGAAAGAAAAGCTATTAAATATTTGCAATTGAATTGAAATAAAGGAATAAGAAATAAATAAAGAAAGAAAATCTCACCATTTTCGGCGACAACCTCAACTGGCGCTGATGATGTCGTTGATTCAGTGAATAGTGTGCCAATTTTTCTTCCCGACAATATACTTTTAATGGCCTTTTCTTGAGTGCCATTGCAAATAACAACAGAAACACCTCTGTCCAATGCCCAAAGTGCAGCGTTGACTTTTGCGTCCATTCCGCCAGTGCCGACTTTGGATTTTTGCCCAAACTTAATGGTACCGCGCAAATCGGACGTGAACGTGTGCAGCATCCTTGCTCCGTCCTGCCAAGGTGGTAAATTATAAATTCCATCCACATCGCTCATGAGAATTAGGAGGTCAGCTTGAACTTCAGCGGCAAGCATTGCCGCCAATGAATCATTGTCTTTGATGGAAATGCCACGTCGTCCGCCACCCCCAGAAACCTCCTCGTCGACTTGCGGCGGTGGCGACACCGCGTCATTTGTATTTATTATTGGCACAATATTCAAACTTATTAATTCACTCAGTGTGCTGAATAGATTTTTCCTCGTCTCCTCATTATAAAAATCGGGCTTTGTCACCAAAACCTGAGCCAATTTCACTCCATATTGTGCGAACATTGCGTCATAAAGGGACATTAGACCCGATTGACCAACTGCAGCCGCTGCTCTTGGCTCTAGGAGATTTCCTGTTTTTTTTTTTTTTTTTTTTTTTTTTGGAGTAGAAAATAAATTTATGGACAATGCAATTTTTTTATAAAACGCTCGCTTCTCAAATATTAACAAAAAAAAATAAATTATTCACTCAAAATTTATTTGGATTTATTTGAATTTACTTCAAATTTCTTTTAATGTATTTGCTCTCTAAATTCTAATTAGTAATTAATTAATTAATAAATTAATTTTAATAATTTGAATCACTGACTAACTGTTTGCATTTGAATTAGTAAATTTGACTAATAAATTAATAGAAATTAATATTTATCAGTAAAATTTACTAATAAATAGTAGTTTCTACTAATTCATTAGTAAAAACGTTTACTAATTTAAATAAGTGACTGACTTTTTGCTTTTAAATTAGCAAATTTTACTAATCAAGTAGTAAAAATTACTGTTTATTAGTAAACTTTACTAAATTAACAGAAATTAATATTTATTAAATAAATAATTTTATTAACAATTGTTAATAAACAAAAGATAAAGTTTTCTCAAAAATATTTTTTCATCTTCTGCTGATTATCGGCTGTGGTTACTTTTTAGTAATTGTGACCTAAATTATTTTTCATGACCAAGATATTAATTGGAATTGGTCTAGTCATAGTTTAGGACCAACAAATAATTTGGATAAATTTTTTTAATGACAATTGTTAATAAAAAAAAAAAAAAGTTCGCTCAAAAATATTTTTTCATCTTCTGCTGATTATCGGCTGTGGTTACTTTTTATTAACTGTGAATTAAATTAATTTTCATGACCCAGATATTTATTTAAATTGGTCTAGTCATAGTTTAGGACCAACAAATAATTTTTGCATTTACAATTGTTAATAAACAAAACCTACAGTTCCAATTTAAATGTATTTTTTCATCTTCTGCTGATTATCGGCTGTGGTTACTTTTTATTAATTGTGACCTAAATTAATTTTCATGACCCAGATATTAATTGGAATTGGTCTAGTCATAGTTTAGGACCAACAAATAATTTTTTTATTGTCAATTGTTAATAAAAAAAGGTACAGTTCGCTCAAAAATATTTTTTTATCTTCTGCTGATTATCGGCTGTGGTTACTTTTTATTAATTGTGAATTAAATTAATTTTCATAACCCAGATATTAATTAAAAATTGTTTGAAAGAATTAAAAATTGATTAAAAAAATGAAAAATGTTGATTAAAAAAATTGACAAAAATTGATAATTATTATGCTGTAATATATTCATTGGCGGAAATAAAAAAAAAATTAAGACAAAAAAGAAGAATGAAACAAATTGTTTCTGACAGTTTGCCAATAATTGTATTTCAGAAAGTAACTTGCCTGGAAAATGTTAATTTAAATTTCTTGGGAAAAGTTGTTTATTGCAAGTTTGTTTGCTAGTGAGGACAAGTTTTCACAGCGATAAAACTTTGAATTGAAAATCTTGATACGAATGCGGTCGAGCTTTTGTGATTTATTCAAACTATATATACAACATTGCAAGAAATTTAACACGCTATTTTTCCTGGAAATTGTAATTTTTTTTCATCGTTTCAATCATTTGGGGATTTTATTTCACTTTATTTAAATTGCGTTCAATTCTTTTTTCATCTTCTTTGGTCAAAAAGTCTAAAAAGTATTATTATAGTAGACAATGAATAAAGTAATTAAAATTAAAAATTTCAGTTCTGAATTTAAATTTTGATTCCAGTTTTTTCTTGCATCAAACTAAAAAAAATTATTTAAAATTAAAAATTTACGTTTCGAATTTTAATTTAATTGTTTCGATTTTCTTTTCTTTCACAGTGAAAAGTATTTATGGATACTTTTTGTTTGTCCAATATTTACTAATAATTAAAAAAATATAGTAATATAACTAAAATAATTTCCAAAATATTTCAATACTTAAAATTTCTAAAATTAAAAATTCATTGCAAGAGATAACTTAAGTGTAATGCAAATTAAAAATTTTGCCATATAATTGAAATATAATGAAATTTTCATTTGGATAAATTTAAAGTGAATCGTTTCCACTTGATAAAATGGAAAAATGAATTTTGCTTAAATTGGTTATGACGTGCAATTATTGGCGAACACGATGGTATTTTCTGTCACCAAAGTATAAATGGAAATTAGATAATATAATTGGATGGCAATCAAACTGTGTAGTTTCAACCTCTAACAAATTTATACAAGAATACAAAAGTATAAAATCCTATTCACCTATTATTATTATTGTACGAAAATTTCGTTTCTAAATGTGAATTCATAATATACTATAAACTGATTAGTAAAATCTAATTAGTGTTTATTTATCTTAACAGAAGCTTGAATAAAAAGAATATATGTTAAATAATAGGGATTAAAAATACACTCTTATTAATTTTTCTTCTATTCTCTATTCTATTCTCTTTTTATATTTTTTAAAAATATTTTTAATTATTATAATTATAAATTAAAATTTTGATCTCTTTTTTTCTATTCTTTATTTTATTTTATTTTTATATTTTTTTATTAATTATTATAATTCCAATTTAAAAGTACGCTCTCTCCTTTTTTCTATTCTTTATTCTATTTTCTTTCTTTTCTTAATTAATTCTAATTCTAATTTAAAAACACGCTCTCTATTTTTTTCTATTTTTAATCCTACTCTCTTTCTATATTTTTTTTTTTTAGTAATTATTGTAATTCTAGAGTTTAAAAATACGCTTTCTATATTTTTCTATTCTCTATTCTACTCTCTTTCCATATTTTTTTTATTAATTATTATAATTCTAATTTAAAAATACGCTCTCTATTTTTTTTCTATTTTCCATTCTATTCTCTTTTTATTAATTATTATAATTACCATTATTACATATATAATTTATGTTTATTTATTTTTTTATTTGACAATATTTGTAATAATAATAATTAAAAGCGAAATATAATAATAATTAAAATGCAAAAAAAAATATTTTCGTCTAATTACTAGAATATTGTAGAATATTTGATTTACGAAATCGAAAATTCAGGAGAAACTTTAGTAATTTATGATTACATTTTTTTTTAACAATTTAAACGTATTATAGTGAAAAGGGAAAATGTGTCCAATATTTCCTGAATGCGGTTGACCACTTACATTTTAATGATCAAATTGGAAATTATCTATTCGAATCACATTCATTTAAATTCTTCAAATTGGTATTACATTTCAATTTCATTGTTAACATGTTTGATGCATTCGAAATATAATGTTCGTTTAGAAATAATAAATTATAATCGAGACATAATTTCATTTCATTTGATGTGAATTTCATCATGTGTGACAGGAAATTACTTAAATTTATTAACACACTCGATTTAAAATACTGTCGTTTAAATTTTTTATTATACACTTGAAAAAAGTAACAAAATGTTTTTTTTTAAATGTTTAAAATTATTATTATTATTTTGAATTTTCCCAGAATTTTTCAAATTATTATTATTATTAGGTATTATTATTATTATTATTATTATTATTTTTATTATATTAACAATAACAATATAAATAATAAATAACACAAAATATAAAAAATAAAATATTTTTATTTCAAAAATAAAAATTAAAAAGATAAATAGAAAAAAAATAAAATTTGAATAAAATAGTTTTGAATAAATTTTGTTCTTAAATTAAAATTAAATTAGCCCCATTTGAATAAAATAAGTTACTAAACGAAAACCTCGACGAAAACAAAAGCGAGAAACTAAAGAAAAAAGTCCATAATAAATAAAAATATGCAATAAAATTTATTTAAATACTTTTTTATTTATATAAAAATATATAAAGAATAAATTTCAAGAAAAATTTTTTTCCATAAAAAAGTTTCCCTTCAATTGTTATTATTATCCATGTTGTATGTAACAATGCAAACAGTAATATTTCTATAGTTGTCAATTTTTCTCAAGAAAAATATAACTTTCCACACGTCTATTTTTTTTTTATTTTTTTTCCCTTTGCCAACCTTCACGTTTTGCAAATAGATAAACAGATATCTTTTTCTTTTCTTGATATTTTGAGAGAAAACTTTTAATACTTCCTTTTATGTTTAACAAAAGTTAAGGGCTTGTGAGATCCTTATTTCATGACAAAAGGACAAAAAAAAAGAGAAAAAAGAAAAAAAAAATGCCAGATAGTAAACAGTCTCAACGAGTCCTGTATTTAAAACTCGTGAATAGCAGGAGGGGTGAAAAGAGAAGAAAAAAACTTATTCTGTCTTAAAGAAGAAAAGATTAAGAGAGAAGGCGGAATTTTTTTTCTTTTTTTGATTTTGTCATAAAAAGAGATTTCAAAAATTGTCTTTTTTTATAAGGAATAATTATTTATTTTTGTAAATAATAATTTAATATTTAATAAGGCAGGCTTTTATTTTTATTTTGTCATAAAAAGCGATTTCAAAAATAATCTATTTTTATTAGCAATAATTTAATATTTAATAAGACGGGATTTTTTTATTTTTCCATAAAAAGAAATTTCTAAAATTGTCTATTTTAATTTTTGATAAACAATAATTATTTATTTTTATTTTCACATAAAAAACGATTTCAATAATTGTCTAGTTTTATAAACGCAATAATTAATTATTTTTATTTTCTCATAAAAAACGATTTAAAAAATTGTCCAGTTTTATAAACGCAATAATTATTTTTATTTTTAATAGAAAAATTCGTGTAGAATTTTTTTCATCAATTTGTTCATTTACCTAATTAAACAGAAAAAGGAGAAAAAATTGCTCTTAAAAATTAAACTAAAGAAAAACAATAAACAAATAAATTTTTGTTCGCAATTTTCATACCCGAAATTGATCTGAAAATTTAAATAAAAATTTTGTTTGAATCCAATTTTCAAAAAGTGTAATTTTCAGATTCAAATAAAAACGAGGAAAGGTTTAAAAAAGAAATTAAATCTTGGCATAAATGGAAGTATTAGAAAAAACAATAAACACTCAGGTAAACGTGAATCGTTTTATAGTATCAGTTTCTAAAAACAGGTATTATACTTTTTATATGAGCAAAATTTATGATAGATAAATTTCATTCCCTTTAAATCAAATACATATTAGGAGGCTATAAAATTTCAAGTGTGTTTTTTTTCTATCACACTTTCCTAGATGTTCTATATACATAAAAATATTATATGTGTAGAGCATGATTTATTTTTGCCTCTGGCTACTCTTGAGAGCTGATAAAAATGAAATGTATTCTGTTTTATAGTGAAAATTGAATTAAAAATATATAATATAGAGTATGACGCAGACTTTACAATAACACAAAAAGGGGTAAAATACTATTTTTAAAATATCATTTAAATAATTCTCGTTCTTCAATGATTGAATCACTCTCTATTCGTTATTAAACAGAGTCGAGTATAAATATATGATTATAAAATAACTGAATCTAAAATAATTGAATGTCGAACAGAGTTTACAAAATTTGCTTGGTTAGATTTTAAATTTATAATAATAGATTTAGTTTTCCATTTACACTTGGAGTTTATTATTATTTTAATACTTTTGCTCTCTTATTCTGAATTCGCTAAAAGTAACTGAATTTTTGAAAATAATGTCAATTTGGTAATATTTATATTTATTTAAATTATTAATATGGTATATTTTAGTTTTTTTTTATTTATGTTAGTATTTATTTTCAATAATAATTTTTTATTTATTTGTTTATTTAATAATAGACGGGCAAACCGATTTATTTTATTTATATTATTATTTATTTACAATAATATTTTTTAATTTATTTACTCATTTATTCAATTATAAACGGAGTGAAAAATAGAATAAATAAATAAACTATTTTTTCATTATTCTTTTATTTGTCTTGCTAGTGGTTAGCTTGTTAAAATTTTCATTTACCACTTAATTTAATTTAGTTTAAAAAAATAGTGAACAATAAAAAAAGTTAAAATTTTTTGCTTCATTCTCTACTATTTTTTTTACCAATCAAATAGTTGACGTTGTTAATAATTGTCAAAATAATTAATTACTTAGTTATTTATTATTTTTAGTAGCAACTTTGAAAATAAAAATCAAGATAAAAAATAAAAAAAAGAATAAAATTATTAAATTAGGATAAAAAATAGGATAAAATGGGATAAAGAATAGGCTAAAATGGTATAAAGAATAGAATGAAATGGGATGAAGAATAGGCTAAAATAGAATAAAATAGAAATAAAAATAAAAAAGGAAAACAAAATACGATAAAATAGGATTATTAAAATAGGGCAATAAAAAAAAATAACATTAAAAAAAGTAAAAATAGGATTATTATTCTTTTGTGTTTTACTCAAAGAGTTTAATCGGCAATTGTTCCACAGACAATTTAAAAAGTGATTTTTATTGTTTCAATAATAATTTTTCACTTTTATTTTAATTTCCAGCTTTTTTTTGTAAAAACAATTTTTTTTCGCCTTTGATAAAAAATAACAAGAAAAAAAAATTCAGTTATATTTTTTTTTTTTTTGAAGATTAATTAGTTTTACATATATAGAGAGTTTGTTTTATGGAAATTTATATCTCGATTACGTGCGTATGTACATCTATATATATGTATTTTGTTATGAGACTTCGCGCGCGGGCAATATCCAATTCCCACATTTCTGCATAGACTCGATTTGATTCATGAAATACCAATGATAATGTCACTCGGATCACGAGATACTGTATTATAGTAATAATAAATGACGACAAGAGCAGGGATTGCAAGTAATGCATCAGATTCTAATAATGTATGCTAGTTTCCTACAAACATATATATATTATATTTACATATATTTGTTGGATTCGACAAGCAGAAATTAACTATGCATGTATATTAATTATTACAAGATGTTATTTCATTTTTTTTAATTAATTATATTAATTAATTTAATTATAATACAATTAATAAAATTAATTTAAACAATTAATTTAAAATAATAATAATTAATTAATCAATATTTAATTACTCTTAACTAAAGTTTAATTAAAATTTTAAAGTATAATTTAATACTTTTTAAATAATTTTTCTTTTCAAATGTTTTCAATTTTAAAATTAATGTACTGAAAATCATTGAATTATTGAATTTTATGAAGAATTCAATTTATTTTCAATAATTGTAATAAAATTCTTTAGTCAATTTATACCTAAATAATAAAAATCTTCATAAAAAATTCAATTATTCTTATGTAAATTATAAAATTCTTATGAGGATTTCACTTATTTTCTATACAATTTTAATTAATTTCTTCAAAAATTTCAATTATTTTTGAAAATCTTGTAAAAATTCTCTGAGGAAATTCAATTATTTTTAAAAATAATGAAATTCTTATTTAACTTAATTTCAATACAGTTTTAATTAATTTCTTCATAAATTTCAATTATTTTGAAAAATCTTGTAAAAATTCTCAGAGAAAATTCAATTATTTAAAAAAAATAATTCAATTTTTCAAAGGAGTTCAATTATTTAAAAAACTTTTAATAAAATCCAATTCAAGAATTCAATTATTTTTCAAAATAATGAAATTTTCGATGGAATTCAATTATTTTAAATACAATTTTAATTGAATTCCAGGGAAAATTAAATTATTTTTTTTAAATTCTTCAAGAAGTTTTCTTAAATAATAATATCAATAAATTTTCAATTTTTCATAGAAATCCAATTATTTTAAATATAATTTTAATAAAATTCTTCTAAAAAATTTAGGACTTATTTTTTAAAATTTTGCAAAAATTCAATTATTTGTAGAAATAAAAAATTTTTTCTCAGAAATTCAATTATTTAAAAAAGTTTTAATAAAATTTTATTTAAGAATTCAATTACTTTCAGAAACAATCAAATTGTCGATGTACTGAAAATCAATGAATTCTTGTAAAGTATTTATAAAAAAAATTTGAAAATAATTGAATTCTTTTCAAGAATTTTATTAACATTTTTTCAATAATTGAATTTTATCGAAAAAATGTAATTAAAATAGAATTGAAAATAAATTTTTTTTAATAAATTTACTGAAAAATATTGAAAATAATTGAATATTAATAAGAATTTCTTTAAGTTTTTAAAAAAATCGTGTTTATTATTAATTGTAATTAACAATTTTTCTATTCAATTATATTAAAATTATTCATAGAAAATTAAATTCTTTTAAACAAATTTATTAGAGTTTTTGCAAATAATTACATTTTTCTAAAAAGAATTTCATTAAATTTCGTAAAAATAATGTAGTCTTTAGAAATAATTTTAATTGAATATTTTGAAAATAATTGAAGCCTGTTAGAGAAATTTCATTAAAATTATCTTGAATATAATTGAATTTTTTCCCAGAAATTTAATTAAAATTGTATCTGAAAATAATTGAATTTCTCAGAAGAATTTTATTATTTACAAAAATAATTGAATTCTTCACAAGAATTTTACAATTTATAAAAATAATTAAATTCTTGACAAGAATTTTACAATTGATAAAAATAATTGAATTGTTTCAAAGAATTTTATATTAGAATTTTGCTGAAAATAATTGAATTTTCAATAAAACTCTTAAAAATAATTGAATTTAAATAATATTTCAAAAAATATATTTGTATTCTTTCGAGAAATTTATGAAAATAATTAAATTCTTTTGTAGAATTTTATTATTTATGAAAATTTTTTAATTCTTGCGAAGAATTTTCATATTTATAAAAATAATTAAATTCTTGCGAAGGTTTTTACAATTTATAAATATAATTGAATCGTTTCGAAGAATTTTATCTAATTTTTTGAAAATAATTTAATTTTTTTAAGGAATTTTATTAAAAATTTTGAAAATAATGATTTAAAAAAAAAATTCATAAAAATTGTTGAAAATAATCAAATTTAATTACTATTTTTGAAAATAATTGTATTCTTTCAAGAAATTTTATTAAAATTCTATTGAAAATAATTTAATTCTTGTGAAGAATTTTACTATTTATGAGAATAGTGAAATTCTTGCGACAAATTTTATTACATTTTTTCAATAATAATAATAAACAAGAATATTCAATATTTTGTAATTAATCAGTGAATTCTTTAAATTTTAAATTTGTAATCATTCATAAATTGATGTTTATTCTTTAAAATATAAAATTTTTTAATTTACAAAATAATAAGAAATGGAATATTAAATAAATATTAAATAATATTAAAATAAATTTCTTGCTAGTTTGTTAATATTTTAGTAATAAATTAATTAATAATACTTTAATTAATTAATTTACAGTTATATTTCTCCGATTTTTCATATTTTAAAAGTGTGTTAATTATTTTTTTACTCCCATGATGTCTTGGTGTAAAGCAATAGAGTTAAATTCACTCCCCTTTAGAGTTGATTTAACTCCAAATTAAATAAAAATCCACGAGTTCGAAATAAATCCAAATAAATTTTTTATCCTATTCTGTTCAATATAGGAACAAATATTAAATCTTTTTCGAATGGTTTCCAAATATAAAGTTAAAAATTTTCTAAAATAGTTTTCCATTTTTTATTTTTATTAAATAATATAAAATTAACATCTATTTTTAAAAAAATTTCTATTTATTTTTGAAGAAAATATTTTTGGCATTTATTTTGTAAATTAGATATGAATGTTCTACCTGCAAATTCTCGTGAATGGTCAGCGGGACTCAGTGTTTCTCGCATCGAAAGTGACATTAAGAGTTCCTGATGTAATTTCTGTTTCCCAAAAGCCACAGCGCCACTTGTCACCATGATGCATTCTCTACCCTCAATTTGACATTCCGCCACTTGTTCCACAATGGACGCCAAACGACCTAAAGCAAGTCCATGCTCATCTTCCCTTGTAATTACAGCGCTTCCCAATTTTACCACCAATCTACGAGCGTATTTAAGTTGACTCCTTTCAATGAATGTCCCTTTACGTGGTCTATCCGCTGTTTGATGATCTCGTCGAATGTCTAATCGATTACTCTGCAAATTATACATTTATAATCGAGCAAAAAATTTTTTTTTTTTTTGCATAACGAAACAAACACCGAAAATAATGACGATTTTTACTATACTTATTGTACTTTTTTTAATTTAAAATTTTTTTTTTTTTTTTTTTTTTTTTTTAATTTTTTTTTTGTACTTTTTTTTAATTCGTTTAATTAAATTAAATTAAATTACTTTTTAGTAAAAAAAAGTCTTTTAGTTTTTTTTCTTTTTGTTTCTCTGCGCAAAAATATTTGCAAAACACAATTTTTCTAACTTTATATGAAATTGAGAAAAAATCTTCGTATTTGTTTCTCTGCGCAAAAATATTTGCAAACACAATAATTTTTCTAAATTTATGAAATTAAGACAAAAAAAACTTCGTATTTGTTTCTCTGAGTAAAAATATTTGCAATCACAGTTTTTCTAAGGATATGAAATTGAGACAAAAAAAAATTCGTTTCTTGTCTCAATTTAATATCCTTAGAAAAACTGTGAACAAAATAAATTGAAAAATTAAAGTATAGTACAAAAGTAGTTTGAGAAAAATCACCCACATATATATTATTTCACAAAGTTTGTTCGCGTTATGAAAAAAAGGAAAGTGTTTGTGAGATGAGAAAATTTTAGTAAAAAAAAAAGTGTGTCGAGGAATCTTGGAGAAATGGTGTTTCCTGTAGATTTCCCAAGTGGAGTCATATACACACATGTCATGAGGTGTAACGCTACAAGGAAAATTACTATTGACTATGAAACTAAGGCAAAGATTGAATCTTTAGTTTATGTTTCTATATTTTTATCTTGTAAAATCAAAAAATATTTCCATTTTTGCATATGAACATTCATTTCCTGTTTCGTAAATTTCTAAAACAAAAATTTAACATTTCACCCTTTTAATATTTGTCTCTTGTAAAATAAAAAAATATTTCCATTTTTGCATATGAACATTTGTTTTCTTTTTCGTCAATTTCTAGAACGAAAATTAAACATTTCACTCTTTTAATATTTCTATCTTGTAAAATCAAAAAATATTTCCATTTCTGTATATGAACATTTGTTTCCTTTTTCGTAAATTTCTAGAACGAAAATTAAACATTTCACTCTTTTAATATAAAAACGACATTTCTTAACGACAAAATCAAGAAAAAAATAACTTTTCTTTATATAATATACAATAATACAGCAATATAACAAATACAAAAATAATTAAACAATACTTTCTCTATAGGTAAGAAACATACAAAAAAAAAAAAAATAATGCAACAATAAAACTCTCTAAATTTAAATCAATTGAATTTTTATTAATTATAAAAATTCAATTATGTTAAAAAATTTAGAAAAATTCTCGTCAAAATTTTAATTATCTTTATAAATAATAAATTTCTTCACCAAAATTCAATTACTTCCCAAAATTTTAATAAAATTCTTGGATAAATTTTAATTATTTACAAAAATTTTCAACAATACAATAATTTTCAATATCTACTATTTTAATAATATTTTCTAAAAGAATTCAATTATTTAACACAATTTTTTTTTAAATTCTATGCAAATATTTAATTATTTTCATAAATAGTCAATTTCTTCGCAGTTCTTCAATTATTTATAAATATTTTTATAAATTTCTTTGCAATAATTCAATTATTTTCATAAATAATACAAGATTTTTTTTTTACAGGGATTCAATTATTTTCATAAACAGTAAAACCTATCGCAGAATTTCAATTATTTTTAATACAATTTAAAATAAATTTATTTATAAGAATTCAATTTTAAGAAATATTCAATTATTAAAAAATTTATTTATTTTTGCTTTTAAATAATTGATTTCTCATAGAATTTTTCTAAATAAAATTGATTTTTAAAAATGAATTTTAGAAATTCAACTATTTTCAAAAGTAATTAAAATTCTTCGCATAAATTAAATTATGTTTAACATTTTTTTTAAATTCTCGTAAAAATTTCAATCTTTAAAAAATAATGGAATTCTTCTCCGAAATTCAATTATTTTTCAAAATTTTCATAAAATTCTTGGTAAATTTTGAACATAATTGAATTTTGTAATAAGAATTTTATTAATTTTGAAAATAATTGAATTTCTGCAATCATTTGTAACTTCTTCAAACTTAAATTTTTTTAGTGTTTACAACAAAAATTCTTCTATAAATCCATTATTTTTAATAATTAATTAAATAGATATATTGAAAAATTTAACTAATTTTAGAAGATTATGAATTATTAAAATTTTTTAAAAATCTAAGTTCATTAAAATTTCTAATTAAATTCATTCAACATTGAAATTTTATCAAATTTCAAATTGAAACCGTTTGAAGTTAATTTATTTATGAGAATTGTAAACGCAACTCTTTTAAAATTGAATTAATTTTGAAATATTTATGTAAAATTATTTATTAAATAATTTATTTATTTTATGATAGTTGTTTAAAATTGAAGTTATTTATATATTTAAAAAGAAATTTTTCTCAGAAATTGAAAAAATTGAAGGTTTTATATTAGAAATCGTGGTAATTTCTAATTTTATAGTTTATGAGGCAAACAAAAAAAAATACTAAAATTCAGAATTTTCTTATGAATTCTAAAAATTTAATTTTTTTCAGTACTTTTAATAAAAATTCCTGACTTTTCCCTGCATTCCCTACGTCAGAATATATCATTATTATAATTATAATAATATTAAAAGTATATATTTTAATTTTAATTTTATTTTTATAAAAAAAAAATTTAATTACAAATTTTTACGTTTCATTATTTTTGAAATTGCTAATTTTATTTAAAAAAGTGAGTAAACAGTCAGCCGCGCGCGTAGTAAGCGTGCTAATTGTTATTAAAAATAATAAAATGAAGCAAGAAAAATTTAATTTGCGCAAAAATAATATTTTTCTGTCCTTTTTGAAGAAAATTTTCTTCAAACAAGAAAGAAGAATTATTTTTGCGCAAATTAAATTCAAACCCTTGAGTACGAATTAAAGTAGTTTCAATAAAATAAATTATATGATTTCAAAAAGAAAATAAATTCAAAATTCAAAAGTAGAACTTTCAGAAAAATCACCCATATCAAAGTCGTAATATAGGAAAATAAATTAACGACTGAATATTTTCTGTATGGATAAAATGGATAAAATAAAATATTATAAATTCGATATCTTGAGATAGAATATAAACAAAAATAAAAAAAAAAAAAGAAAGAAAACATTGAAACTTTGATCTACAACGTGACGGATAACTGTCTGAACATTTTATAGACAAGTTTTATCGTCTGGTTCATGATCAGACTCTGGAGGATTATAGTGTGTGCGCGCATGAAAATGGACCACACATGAATTGTTTGTGATAAACAACGCGATAATCAATCATGCAGTGTTAGTAATTTGTCTACCTGAACATTGCTGCGCGATACGGAACAAGTCACACATATGTGTACATATATATATATATATATATATGTACACTTCTGGAAAATACTACCGTTAATTATAATGACGATTGACATCAGCTACATTCGTTAAGGGAAACATGGAGAATATTTGGCTGCAATTTGGATCATGCAAAATCCAACAAGTCAATAATATTCCTGGTTTCCGTGCTATATAACTGACACGTTCATTTTATATGGATATATATATATATATATATATATATATATATATATATATATATATATATATATATATATATATGGGTGATTCTCCGCGTAGCGCATCACAGGAAAAAAGAAGTGTTATTTTAACACTAAAAGTAGTGTTAAAACAACACGCAACATTTTTAACCGACACTGTGTGATTTTAACACTTCATCGGTGTTAAAATAACACTAGAGTGTGTTAAATTAACACCAGAGGGTGTTAAATTAATATACATTTTTAATGGGGTTAAAATAACACAAAAATTATGTTAAAACAACACAGTCTGAAAAGTACACGCAACAAATTTAACACATATTTTCTTCTGTGCAGAACTTGGTTTTTTTCATGTTGTAATGGAAAAATAATAAATAATTTTCATATATTTTTACAATTCCAACGTGAAAAGGTTATCTATATGTTTAGAAACAAAAACCAATAATTACTTTTGTATCTAATATTATAATTTTTCATAAATAAGCGGTTTTAAGGCTAAAAACGTCAAAATTTTACCTGTCCCCACAGGAAGTTTTGAAAAAAAAGTTAATAATTTTAGTAATATGCAATAATAAATACAATTATTATTGACATTTTAGTATCGTCTACTTTAGTACAGTTGAATAAAAAAAATTAAAAAAAAAAAATTCATTTCATATATAAGGAATAAAAAAAAACCTATAGCTCAGGAAAGTTTACCATAAATTACTTAAATAAATTTCCATAAATTACCACGGAAATTTTTATAAATTACCGCAAAAATTTCCATAAATTACCGAAATAAAAATTTTCAATTGTGATTTCTACTTTGCATATTTTTAAAAATTACCGACAAAATTTCTTTAAATTACCTTACAAATTGCCATAAATTACCTTATAAATTTCCATAAATTACCGCAAAAATTTCGATAAATTACCAAAATCCAAATTTTTAATAATAATTTAAATTTTACATATTTTTATGAAATTATCGCGAAAATTTCCATAAATTTCCAAAAGTTTCCATAAATTACCAAAATAATAATTTTTAAATGAGATTTACGCTATAATATTGTTTAAATTACCGCAAAATTTTTTTTGACAGAATCTGTCGAAACAGTGAATTAGTTAATTACTACACTTGTTTACAACAAAAATTATAAATAATTTTTCCGGCCCGCTATGGATTTTTCTTTTTAAAGCCTTTATCTTCAAAAAAAATATATTGATAATAACCATAACGATAAAAAAAAATTTTTTAAATTTCATAAACCAAATCGTGCGCTACGCGGAGAATCACCCATATATACAAGAATCAACATGGTGTGAAAGCGGACAATTTTCAATCTTATGTGCAGATTATATACGCTTGAAAATTTTC